TCATGGTGTTTCACTAATAAAAATTAAAAAAAAAAGAAAGGAAAGTCAGTCCTGGACCATACCCAGGCCTTTGGGTTTCTAGGGAACGTGGGCTTCTCCAGAGCGGAGAGGGTGTCCCAGGACACAGCCCAGCATTCAGTATGGAAATATGAGAGTCCATGTCTCAGGAGGGGAGATGCGGGTGACACATGTGTTTCAGGTGCCACATGTGCTCGGCAGCAACATATGGGACAGGCAACTCGTGGACTCAGGAAGCACATGGGCACCATAAGCCAGAATGACACCCACAACATACCAGTGACTCTTGGGCTCCCTACCAGTATCTCTGGTAACTTGGGGAATTGCATCCGGTTCCTGTGCGTAAGAGACTGCAATGCCAACCTTGGGTCAGCACACATTTTTCTACTCATAAGCTTTCTTATTGTGTGGCCACCAAGTGCCACAGTGGGGATTTCAAGTGCTTGTGTGTCTGTGGGTCAAGAAAACATTGCTCTGAGAAGCCGATAAAATGAAATGTTAACGCACTCGAAGAAAGTAAAAGTCAACTTAGATTTCGTAGAAAAAAAATATCACTCAGAAGCGAGAATGAAGTAAGGCCATGGTGAGACATGAAAGAAGTGAAGCTATTGAAGTGCTCATATATATGCCTGGTATAAAAGGAAGAAAATAGCGAAGGTATCCTCAAGCAGAAAGAAAATGCCTATATGGAAATGCAAAAATAAGTGAAGACTACAAAAAGGATTAGAGGTAACTTTATAAATATCAACTGTAAAAAAAAAGCTATGGTAGTATCTTAGGAAATTGAAAATTGTTACAAACTTCAAAATCATTTTCAAACTAACACAAAACACCATTGGGTAAATGGGCTTAGCGTCTAGCCCTAGTACTATCTGGAAGTAGAAATTGTTTTTTTGAATGAGACCAAAAACACAAGGGTCCGTGCTGTAATCTTTACAATGATCAGAAAGAGAATACCATGAGTATATAGCAAAGAGAAAAATGGAATAATGAGACTGATTATAAAATAAAATGAGAAAGGGAGAACAGGAAGCTGAACCAGATGGTCAAGTAGAAAATGATAAGATGGAAGATACAAATCCAGATAGAACAGAAATGACATTACGTTTAACCATATTCTCTAATGGGGCAAGACTGCACCACTCAGCACTTGGGAATAAGATCTAGAAAATGGAACTGTTTTATTTACAAGAGAGTAAATAAGACGTAAAGTTCAAAGTGAAGGAGGAAAAAGCTACACAAGTTCCAAACCAAACAATTCAGGGTTAGCACTGCTAATATTGAAGTTGACGCCCAGGGAAGGATGGAGATAGAGCAGGACGTCTCATCATCGCAAGAGTCAGTCCTCAGGGCCTTCAGTCTGTCAGCAACCAGTGAATCAGCTTCTATTATATGGCAAAGACTGACAGGGGAAGCAGATAAATCCACAATTTACTAGTAATTTTCTACGTACTTCTTTCCATAACTGATAGAATCTAGACAAAAAAAAAATCATTCAGGATACCAGATTGCAGCAGCACAACTGGGATTTTCTGTTTGTCTGGGGGTCACTTCCAGTGATGCTCAGGGGTTACTCCTGGCTCTGCTCTCAGGAATTACTCCTGGCGGTGCTCAGGGGACCATATGGGATGCTGGGTATTGAACCCAGGTCAGCTACCCAGGTCACTGTACCTGCTACACTATCTCTCTGGCCCCCACAATTGGAATGTGGAGTTGATATTGTTGTTTTGTTTTGTTTGGGGGCCACGCCCTGTGGTGCTCATGGCGAACTCCTGTCTCTGTGCTCAGGGAAATCTGGCAGACTTGGGGAACCATATGGGATGCCAGGGATCAAACCCAGTTGGGCACATGCAAGGCAAATGTCTTACCCACAATGCTATGTTTCTGGTCCCATTTTTATTCATGGACCCCATTTGAAAATGGGTTTTGGGCGATAAGCAGTTGTGCCCAGGGCTTTTTCCTGGCTCTGAGATCAGGGATCACTCTTAGTAGGGTTCTGGGGACTATATGGAGTGCTGGGGACTGAACCCAAATTGACTGCATGCAAGGCAAGTGCCCTATCCTTTGTACTATCTCTCCAGCCCATTCGTTCAGGATTGTACGTGTGCATAGTTGTACCAATGTTGACAGAGCCACGGTTTCCCAGGTCTCACGGAGCATCAGCCAACATTGATCAGATGTTGAGTCACAAAGTTAGTCTCACACTGTCAAAGACTGCTCTGTTCACGTGGGATGTTAGAAAACAGTCCTAAAAAAGACAACTAGAAGCCTCTCACTCTCTGGAAATTTAAGGTTGCTCTCCTACAAATGTCTTAATGCTGAAGAAAATTCGCAATAGGAATTGAGCTGTTGAAATAAACGATAATAAAGATATGGCGTAATAATGTGACATGCAGCTACAACAGGGCTCAGATGAGGGCTTTCTCATCTTCAGTGTATTTGTTAGAAAGGAAAAAAGACTGAAGGTCACACTATGAAAGGGGCAGAAAATCAAACCAAAAGGGCTCAGCTAGAAAAAAAAAAATAATGGAGTTTGAGCACTGGGAAATTGCCAATAGTCGTCAATCATTTTGATCTTTAAAAGTGATTTAATCTTTAAGAAGCAAACAATAGTGAATAGTTGAAGCCAAAAGTTGATTCTTTGAAGAGTAATCTAAGTAATAAACTCCGGAGTAGTCCGGAGAAAGGGGCCAATCAACCACCAATTACGAGACTGGAAAAGAAAACACCACTGACAACCTGAGACATTAAAAACGATGATAAAATGAGGGGCCAGGGAGATCGCACAGCAGGTAAGGCACTTGCCTTGCAAGTTCCTGACCCCAATTTGATTCCAGGACCCTGAGAAACGCCAGGATTGATTCCTGAGCACAGAACTAAGAGTAAGCCCTGAACACACCCAGGAACTAAATAACAAAATTGACAGAAAGCAGCTGAAATGCTTAAGAAATAGAAGTTATTAGGGTTGACAAAAGAAGCGATAAAAAAAATCCAAATTACCTGATATTTACTAAAAACCTGTTATAAAAAGTTGCCCACGAAGAAAACTCTTCCTAAAACTTGGCCCCCTCCAAACAATCGAAGGTCCTTTTTAAGGCGACATTTCAAAAAGAAAATTGCAGAAAATGATTTCATCAGCACGGGCTCAGCAAACCCAACCAATATCTTACCAAATTGAACTCAGCAATGTGCATCAAAGCTCACATAGCCCCGCCAAGTAGAAATGATTCCAGGAAGATAAATGTGATTTACCCACAAATGTAACCGTTCGGTATGATTCACCACATACATGACACTCAGCCAGAGAAGTCACAGGATGGTTGGAACAGACCCAGAAGAGGCACTGGAGAGACGTTTGGGGTGAGTTGTTTGTGTTGGAGAAGAGCTTGGGTTGACCCGAGAGAGAGCTCAGGGCCAGGCACGCAGGCCTTGTGCTCAGAGACTCCTGCTTAGTCCCTGGGACCTCAGATCCCTTATCCCCCTCCATCCCCATCACCAGATGTACCCCAGGTGTGCCCCAAGCAGTGCGAGGGCCGCCTTGGTGGCTTCAAGTCCTACCATCATTCCCCCCAAAAAAGTAAGAAAGTAAGAAACTCCTCTTTATCTGGGAATAATGAGTCACTTCCTTAAGTTAAAGCAGATCTCAAGCACAAGTGCATGCCAGGGCCATGCCCAGGTGGGCCCCCGAGAGGAGCATCCGGGGACTTCCGGGCCCAGATGTCACACCAGAGCTTCAGTCCTGTCTTGTCTGAAGTCGGCGTTTCTGTCCAGTAGGAGGGCAAAGCCCCGCACCAAGAGTTGAGCCCCGTCTCTCACAGCATCAGGCAGGAGAGAAGCTTCGAGACTGTATGCTCCCAGGCTGGTGGTCTGCTTCAGCCTTCAGACCTCCCCGGAGGGCCTCGGGGGCTTCAGGCAAAGCAAGTGGGAGGAGGAAGGGAGAGGAGGTTCCAGGTGAGGCTTTGCCGCCTGGGCTGTCTGAATCCTCTGGGAATAATTTTCCTAGCAAGTGAACCAACGAGCCTGAGTGAGTAGACCCAGCTGTGCTTCCTGTACGAACTCCACCTGAGATTTCGCTCCCAGCCGCAACCGACCCTGACTGGGGTCTGAGTCCTGGGTCCCCAGACCCTCGCCCAGGGCAAGGGTTCCGAGCGCCTCGGCTGCTGGAATGTTCTAAGCTCTGCGTAAACCACTGCTTCATTTTAACGTTCTGAACACCACGGGGCTGGAGCGATAGCACAGTGGCAGGGCGTTTGCCTTGCAAGCGGCCAACCGGGCTGACCCGAGTTCGATTCCTCCACCCCTCTCAGAGAGCCCGACAAGCTACCGAGAGTATCTCGCCCACCCGGCAAAGCCTGGCAAGCTCCCTGTGATGTATTCGATCTGCCAAACACAGTAACAACAAGTCTCACAATGGAGACGTTACTGGGCCTGCTCGAGCAAATCGATGAACAACGGGAGGACAGTGCTACAGTGCTACCGTGAACACCATGAAGGGCGCGGCGTCTGTGACTCTCCTCTGCTCTTTAACACTTTCATAACAGACCACACGGTTCAAGAAACAAGCGCGGCAGGAAGAGCTGGGCTTCCCCCAAGGGCTGTGGCCTCTGCTCTTGGCCGCACCGTGCCCCGGCTGTCTCTGCTCAGGAGGGCGTGAGGGCGGACCTGGCGGGGACCCAGGGGTCACTGCAGTGCGGTTGGGCCAGGGCTGGCTGCCAAGAGGAAACTGGCTCTTGCTCTGAGCCCCAAACTGCTCTTCATAGGGTTGGGGAAGAGTCTCCCTCTGTTCTGACTTGGGGGTTCTAGCTGGGCTGTGGCCCGGCTCTGCCCCTGGGTGGCCACAAGGCCAGAGCCAGCTCACAGCGCCCCCATCCGGTGAATTCTGACAGTGCCTGAGGGTGGAAGGTCAGGGCCAACAGCTGCCACCCGCTCTCCCCTGCACCCCTACCTGCAGCGTGGGGTCCCACACACGCCTCTCTCCTCAGGAGTGACTGGGTGACCTCCTACAAGGTCCTGGTCAGCAACGACAGCCACACCTGGGTCACGGTCAAGAATGGCTCTGCGGACATGGTGAGTGCCCAGGCAGTGGCCGCCTCTGCATAGGGGTGCCATGGGTCTACATGGGGGGTGTCCGTGGGGTCTGCGTGGGGGCACCAGTGGGGTCTGCATGGGGGGGTGTGGCTGTAGGGTCCACATGTGAGGTACGTCTGGTGGGTCTGCATGGGGGTGTGCCTGCTGGGCTCTGCAGGTGGGCTGTGCTCATGGGCTCTGCCTGGAGGCCTTTCTGTCCCCTCCCAACCTCCCCTGAGGTGTGAGGTCTCATCCCATCTCCAGTCCTGGCCCAAACAACACTCATGACCTTCCGTAGGCCAGTGTGGACTTCACAGGGCAGGACCCACGGCCACCACGTGACAGCACTGTTCGACTCTGACCCCCCTGGGGCCCTGCCCCCTCGCTCTTCCCCCCCCTCCGCCGTGCTGATCTCTCCCCGTCCGGTCGTCGCGAGGGCGGGTCCCCTCAGCGCCCTGCAAATGTATGGGTAGGGAGGACTCGAGTGTGGCTGGGGTCCCCTCCTAAGGCAGCCCTGAGTGGCTTCATCCCAGGGCTGGGAGCTCCCACAGTGCTCTATCCAGGGCTGCACAGTGCTCGAGCCGGGGGTGTCATGGGGTTTGGGGGTGGGGCAAGGGGTCGTGCACGGCCGCCCACTCTCCACCCTTGGGGCATCTTTCCCGCCCAGCAGTGGCTTCTCCCCCTCACAGGTGTTCGAGGGGAACAGTGAGAAGGAGACCCCCGTCCTCAACGAGCTGCCCGTGCCCATGGTGGCCCGCTACATCCGTATCAACCCGCAGTCCTGGTTCGAGGGGGGTGGCATCTGCCTGCGGCTGGAGGTGCTGGGCTGCCCCCTGCCAGGTGAGGCCGGGGGGGACGCGGAGACAGGAGCCACCGGCCAGTCAGGGATGGGATCGGGGCTGTGGGGACACCAGAGTGGGGGACGGAGGGGACGGCCAGAGAAGGGGCTGCAAAGACTGGACCTTGGCTCCTTAGAGAACAGAAACCAGGTCGAGAGTAGGGTTCTGGGGAACACACGTCAGCCCTGAGGGACTCAGCTGGGATCTGTGATCCCACTGGAAGCCCCGTGGGCCTCTGGAAAGTCAGGGGCTTACACCAGCCGGGGCTTTGCCTTCTGGGGTTTTGAGTTGGTGCCTGTTTCAAGGCAGAAAACCCAACAACGTCCAGAGCTGACACTGAGCAGGAGCACTGCCCTGTAGCACTGCCCTCCTGTTGGTCATCGATTTGCTCGAGCAGGCTCAGTAACGTCTCCATCGTGAGACTTGTTAGGGTGTTTGGCACATTGAATACGTTACAGGTAGCTTGCCAGGCTTTGCCGTGTGGGCAAAATATTCTTGGTAGCTTGCTGGGCTCTCCAAGCGGAGTGGAGGAATTGAACCTGGGCCAACTGGGTCTGCCGCGTGCAAGGCAGTGAGCAGGGAAAATGAGACAGAAGGGTTTTTGGGTTCTTTTTGGAGAGAGAGAGAGAGAGAGAGAGAGAGAGAGAGAGAGAGAGAGAGAGTAGCAAGACCGTTTTATTGCACAGGCCCATACCTGGGTGTGCCGGCCACTCCCTCAGAACCATCTGGAATGGATTTCCACAGGGGAAGGGAAGTGCTGGCCTGGCTCCTGCTGGGAGGGTGCCCGAGAGGTCCCTGACAAACCTGATCCCTCAGAATCTGTGTTTGTCGGCCTGGCCAGGGCCCCAGGAGGGCTCGCTGGGAGCCTGGTGGGGGCTGAGTACTTTTATCCCAGAGCAAATTGATTCGTCTCAAGGCTGCGAGAATGTGACCCAACAGAGGTCTTTTGTACTGAGCTCCGAGGGTTTTTCAATCCTTTCAGAGACCCTTGAAGGTCTAATTTGTATTTCAAGATAAAGAGAGCTTTGCAGGCCTTAGGAAAGAGCCCCCTGAGGCTTGGGGGTGTTGAATTGCTCCCAGAAAGGAGCAAGTGGGCAGATGTAGGCGCAGAGGCCCCGAGGGGGAGGCTCTAACTTTGCTAGGAAAATAGAAGTTTGCAAATGCAAGGGGCGTGTTCAGCCCACAGGCACCGGGAGGAACCTCCTCACCACACAATGGGTCTGAGGGGGGATTTGACACCCCTGAGGGCTGGTGCTGCTTTCCTGGACACTCTCACTCTCCTTTCCACCCATCTCACTACCCTGCCAGGGCTTTGTGTCGGATAGTTTTGCTCCATCCCTGGGGAAGAGCAAAGCAAGTCTCTGGCCTTGGGGCGACCCCTGCAGGCTGGGTGCTCAGTACTTGCACCTGGTGCTTCTCAAGCTTCTCTCCAAACAGCCCAATGGGGGGGTTTGTGAAAATGTGGATTCGGCTGTTCCCCAATGGGTCCATCAAGCAGCCAACTGGCTGGTGTGTGGACTGCCTTTGGGGGCTCACAGCAGGCTCCAGGCCGCCGCAGCCCCTAGGGCCCCCTTCCAGCCTTTGCGGGCTGGCAGACAGCTGCCTGGAAGCCCTCTTCCCTCCCAGGGGTCCTGGGGTGGTAGGTAGGTGGGCTTCTCTGAGCACTGCACTCAGCTCTGAGCAGGCCAGGATCTCTGCCAACTTCCCAGAAGAGTGCTGTCTGGACGTTGCTGGGTCCTCCTAGCATGAGCTCGGGGGCCCCCAGAGTGCTCCCTTCAGTAGTGCTCCTCACTTCCGGAGGCCAGTCCTTTTCTGGTGGAGTTCTTTGCTTTCGTGACTGTGGAAGCTACTTGGGTGTGCTAAACGGGATTAAGCGTTGCTATGGAAGGGATTCAGGCAAGGGGGTTGGGTCCTCTCCAGCCCCCACATCCCTCATCACTGGAAGGTCCCGGAAGATGGTATCCGGCATTGATTTGTTCAGTCGCTTGGAGTGTCATCGGGGTTCTCTCTGTCCTGAGCTCATTGATCCTCTGTATCAACAAACTCCTGCTTGTCACCCTGGAAAATGCAGCAGAACAGCTGGATAGAAAAGAAGGGTTTTGTTGGCAATGAAAGAGCTTCAAGTGGGAAGGACACCACCCGCCTTCATCCCCCAGGCGTGGGACTGGAGAACTGCTTTGAAGAGAGGGAGCTGGGGGGTCTGGTGTGATGCCCCGTAGAGCTTGTAAAGTGATACAGCACTTTATACATAATCTAGTAATTTTCCAGAAAACTCAGACATATTCATGAGGGAGAGTGACCAGCATCTGCTATTGAAGAACATACAAAACCCATACATGACATATACAGATGATGGTGGAGAAAGGTCCCAGGGATGTGACTTAGTGTGGTGATGAAGACTGTGGTGACTAGGGGCCGAACTAGACTCTACCAAACGATCTCTACTGACCAGTACTGACCAATCAGGAACTGGGTCCTCAACAGCATACAAGTTCCTAAGGTTTACATTAGCCGCCCCCAGATCCAATAGAATGTAAGAAGCAGCCCCCCAGGAAGCAGTTGTCACACCCCCAAACCGCAAGCATCTGACCAGCCCATTTAAATTTTTTCTAACCCCACGTATCCTGCTTTTCAGGGGGAAAGAGGAGGGGCATAGTTTCAAAGGACTTTGCTGTCCTCTTCTATCTGGACCAGTAAGAGTGGCCAGGCAGTGCTGTGTTGATTGGCTGAGCCTGCCATGTTGGACACTGGACTTAGGATGCAAGGTCTGTCTCTAGGAGGGGAGAAAGGATACCTAGACAGAGGTAGAGCCTCTGTTAGGTAGGATAAAGTATCTGAAAGTCAGATAGTCACTAACTCTGCCCACCACACTTCCAGACTATGCATATTGTCCTGACATCTATCCTCTATTCATCATCCATCATCCATCATCCATCCATTCATCCATCCATCCATCCATCCATCCATCCATCCACCATCCACCATCCACCCAACTACCCATCCATTTACTTACTTACCCTCCCACCCATCCATCATCCATCAATCTATCCACCCACCCAACCATCCATCCATTCACCCACTCACCCTCCCACCCATCTATCATCCATCTGACCACCCACTCATCCATCCACCCATCCATCCATCCATCCATCCATCCATCCATCCATCAATGCACCAGCCATCCATCCCTTCCTCTCTCCATCCAACCACCTGTCATCCATCCCGCCATCTATTACCTATCTATCCGCCACCCATTCTTCCTGCTATCCATGTAGTACTAATAGTTTGCAAGGCACATTGATTATCCCATCTAATACTGACAAGGAATCAATAAGGGGAGTAACCTTCTTTTCCCTGTTAGGGATGAAAAAATCAGTATGAGAGATGACCCCAGGAGTTTCTCCAGGGTCTCACTGCCAGGAATAGCCTCTTGAACCCAGGCCCTCTGGCTCTCGACCCCTGATCTCCAACACCCAATCTGCTGTCATTGATGCTTCGGAAAGTCACCTCCCTCCTCCATGAATGTCAGGAGCTGGAGCCTAGACCGTGTTCCTGCACGAATCAGAGACCTTCACAGTGGCCGTAAGTCTGAAGTGGTGAAGTGACTCACAGGCCCTTTGCTGTCCCCAGATCCCAATAACTATTATCACCGACGGAACGAAATGACCACCACGGATGACCTAGACTTCCGGCACCACAGCTATAAGGAAATGCGCCAGGTAAGATACAGACTCTCTGGGAAGCAGTGTGTCCTGTGCCCAGAAAATGGGGCTGTGTGGGCTCCGTTCAGTGACCAGGGTGATGTGGTGGGTTGCGGAACTCTGTGGGTTGAGGCTGCACGGCTGGTGGGAGCCACAGTCCATCCTGTGATCTTAAACTCGGGGCATCAGTGAGCGTATTTCCATCTCCTTGGGGGTGAGGTCACCCCTGTTAGGAATGCGTGCTCCAAAGCCATGAACAACATGGGCCTTACCCGGTGTAGGGGTGGAGAAGGGGGTTTTATTCCTGGGATCACTCGCTGCTGCCTGTCTGGGAAGACACAGACTGAGTCCTGCAGCCCCCAAGACCCTGCAGAGAACTGCTTCCTGGCACTTCAGGGGAGCCCACTGCAGGGACCTTTGTAAAGACACGTCTCCAGAGGCCTTGCTGGAGAAATAAAAGGGGCTACTAAGGAAGTGGGGGGCGGTGAGGGGCACTGAGGAAGGAGAGGGCTTCGTCTGTCCTTGAGAGGCTCTGCAGTCTAGAGAAGGGACAAAGAAAATAATAAATTCTGAGAGGTGAGAGCCACGGCCAGGGGAGGTGGTAACACTTGAAGGAGGTGAAAACCACAGTCTGGGGAGGTGATACCACAGTGGAAGGAGGTGAGAACCACCGTCAGGGGAGGTGATACTCTACTGGAAGGAGGTGATAATTACGGCCAGGGTAGGTGACACCACAGTAGAAGGAGGTGATAAGCATGGCTAGAAAAGTCAATACCACAGTGGTAGAGGGGAGAACCACAACCAGGGAGGTGATACCACATCCAGGGAAGTGATCCCACGGTGGAATGAGGTGAGAATCAAAGCCAGGGAGGTGATATCACAGTGGAAGGAGATGATACCACAGCCAGGGAGGTGATACCACAGTGGGAGGAAGTGAGAACCACGGCCAGGGAAGGGGAGGGCACTTGGGGGAGAAACCACAGCAGGGAGGGGTGTTGGGGTCAGGGCCGCAGGGCAGAGGGGAGCCCTGTGTCACAAGGAGAGTCGGAGCAGCGGGTGGTCCCTTCTTGGGGCCTGGTCCCCTCTGAGGCTGCCTGCTCAGAGCCCTCCCCCTCGTCTCCCCAGCTGATGAAGGTGGTGAATGAAATGTGTCCCAACATCACCAGGATCTACAACATCGGCAAGAGCCACCAGGGCCTGAAGCTGTACGCCGTGGAGATCTCGGACCACCCCGGCGAGCACGAAGTCGGTGGGTCTCCCTCCCCCTGCATGCTCCGTCCTCAGAGAGGGCCGAGTGGGGCAGGGCACAGAATGTTCCAGAAGCCCTAGGAGCCACCCTCGCCCCGCACACTCAGGGTGCAGACTCCGGGCCCTGAGCCTTCATGGGCTGCATCAAAGTCGAGTGGCCCCGTGTGTGTCTGCAGCCAAAGGAGAGGGCCTGGAGGAATCCCCAAAGTGAGCCCTGGTCTGGGGCAGTATTTTGGGCTCCCTCCCCTTCATAGCTCCCATTCGAGGCGTCTTCTTAGTTTCATGAGTCGGGGCTGTTTCCAGACTTTTCCTTCAGCCTGAGAATCCCTGGCATTTCCAGCTCAGTCAATTCCAGGGAAACTGAGTTTTGAGAGCAGCCCTTTACAGAACTGCACCAGGGCTGGACTGCGGCTGCTTCTGTTCATCTTGGTGCCCTGGTAGATGCCACACAAATGTTTTTTCTTTTTCCTTTTCTCTTTTTGGTGTTTGGGGCCTCACCAGGCTTGCTCCTGGCTCTGTGCTCATCCCGGTGGGGCTCGGAGACCCCATGCCATTGCTGTGAATTGATTCATGTGAATCCAGCATTGTTTGTTTGTTTATTTATTTATTTATTTATTTTTGCTTTTTTGGGGTCACACCCGGCGTTGCTCAGGGATTACTCCTGGCTTTACACTCAGGAATGACTCCTGGCGGTGCTCGGGGAACCATATGGGATACTGGGAATCGAACCCAGGTCAGCCATGTGCAAGGCAAACACCCTACCCTCTGTGCTATTGCTCCAGCCCCAGAATCCAGCATTGTTTAAGATATGCCTGTGCCGCTCCCAAGGGCTGGTGCGTGCCTTAGCGTTGATTTACTGCCCTGCGCTATATCTCGAACTCAGGACAAACCCATCACCCCGTAGCCATTCATTCTAAGATCTTTGTCTGTTTTTTGTTTTGTTTTTTTTTGTTTTGTTTTGTTTTGTTTTTGCCTCACTCTTTGGCAATGAGAACCCACGCGCCCGGATTGGATGGGATAGCTCGAGCTGAGACAGCCAGTTGGGCAGTGCCCGGGGACTCCACCCCAGTGGCCCGGAGTTGGGGGTGCAGCTCTGCCTTGTCCCTTGTGTGCCCGAAGGTGAGCCCGAGTTCCACTACATCGCGGGAGCCCACGGCAATGAGGTGCTGGGCCGGGAGCTGCTTCTCCTGCTGCTGCAGTTCCTGTGCCAGGAGTACCTGGCGGGGAATGCACGCATCATCCGCCTGGTGGAGGGTACCCGCATCCACCTGCTGCCCTCGCTCAACCCCGATGGCTATGAGAAGGCCTGGGAAGGGGTAAGCCCCAGCCCCCCTCTCCCCCAGCCCCTGCAGGCAGGGAGGAGTCCGGGAGCCCCGCCCTTCTCAGAGGGAACTACACACAGTGACCCACCAGGATGGTAATGGACAGTGTTCCCCCTGCCTTTCCATGCGGGCAGCTGGCGGGGGGGTCGTCGGGGTCTGGGGACACACACCAGATGGAGATGGGGGGTGGGGAAGTGGATGCGGAAGTGGGGGTGGGTCTGTTATGTCCTGGGATTGGAGTTTCGCTCGCACATTGACCAGACCAGACGCGAGGCTGCAAACTCAAGGCCCCTTTATCGCTAGCTCGAGCTAGGGTCCGAGTCTCATTCAATGCAGTGGAGTCTTGTTTTTTTTTTAATTTTTATAACAAATTTTGGGCTGGAGCGATAGCACGGCGGTAGGGCATTTGCCTTGCGTGCAACCAGCCCGGCCAAGCCAGGTTCGATTCCTCCGCCCCTCTCGGAGAGCCCGGCAAGCTACCGAGAGTATCTTGCCCTCACGGCAAAGCCTGGCAAGTTACCCGTGACATATTCGATATGCCAAACACAGTAACAACAAGTCTTAAAAAAAATGGAGACTTTACTGGGCCCGCTCGAGCAAATCGACGAACAACGGGGGGACAGTGACAGTGATAACAATTTTTATTATATACCATTTTATGAAATAGTTTTCATTAGACATAGAAATCACCATGGGTCAAGACCAGCCATCACAGTTCACACCAACTTTCCATTTTGTCCGAAGTACCCAGCTTTCTTTTTCAGTTTCTTCCTCCATGCAGTGGAGTCTTGACAAGGACCCCAACTCCAAATTCTAAGCAGTTTATTAGGGTTTGGTTATATAACAGCATTTTTTCCCTAAGAACTGGCAAAATGTGACCAATTCTTGTCTTTGTCCAGTCCTGTGGCTTCAGGGACCATCACTATGTTTCCAATTCTTGGTCCCTGTCATCCCGTGACTCCACTCCCTCAGCCCTCTGTGCTTGGGTGGGTGCCACTGCCTATGCCCCCTACTCCGATAAGCTGTTGTCACATGGCGGTTCATCTGCCTGGGGTGATATTGTTCTTTGAGAAGTCGGGAATTTCTGATGGGGGAAACTGAGAGAGGGGTTACTCCTGGCTCATGCACTCAGGAATTACTCCTGGCAGTACTTAGGGTACCATATGGGGTGCTGGGAATCGAACCTGGGTCAGCTGCATGCAAGGCAAACGCCCTCCCTGCTGTGCTATGGCTCCAGCCCAGTGAATCTCAGTCTTAAAGTGACAGGCTCCACTTCAGCCTCACAGGTGGAAGGTGGGGAGAGAAGGAGGTGGGTGATGTAAGTATGGGTGCGTGAAGCGGGCATTGGGCAGCAGCAGCTCTAGGGGAAGGAGGTGCGCTCCAGGCACTGGGGCCCCACACATCCCCCATGGCCCCCAGGGCTCGGAGCTGGGGGGCTGGTCCTTGGGCCGCTGGACCCACGACGGGATCGACATCAACAACAACTTCCCGGACCTCAACACGCTGCTGTGGGAGGCCGAGGCGCGTCGCGGCGGGTCCAGGGAACTGCCCAATCACCACATCGCCATCCCTGAGTGGTTCCTGTCGGAAAACGCCACGGTGAGTGACAACGTGTCTGCATGGGCCTGAGGTCACGGTGGCATCTCACATCCCATGCTTCCCCACCTGGCTGCAGTCTCAGGGGCTTCTTCCCAGGCAGAGCCTCTGGGACCAGCCCCCCTGCAGGGACCCTCCTCTCTGGCCCAAAGGTGGCTCCGTAGGGGTCCTCATCACCCAGGGACGCAAGAGAACTTACTTGTCCTTTAAGTCCCCAAATTAACCCTGCATGAGTGCTTCATTGGAAGGCAAAACACGGTGACATGAGAAACGTCAAATTTGCTTAGGTCCATCCTAGGCAGTATCCCCTTCCCTCAAACTATCCGGCACACCTGGGAATTCTGGCACATTAGAAAGTGGGCATCTTGGGGCTGGAGCGATAGCACAGCAGGGAGGGTGTTTGCCTTGCAGACGGCTGACCTGGGTTTGGGCCCCGGCATCCCATATAATCTCCCGAGCATCGCCAGGAGTGATTCCTGAGTGCAGAGCCAGGACTAACCCCTGAGCATCGTCAGTGTGACCCAAAAAGTAAAAAAAAAAAGTGGGCATTCATTGCACCAAATTGGGAAGATGTGGGTGACTCCCAACACTGTAGGAGAGGAGCACCGTCACCTGGCAGCACCGTCAGGGAAAGGCAGGAGCATTGAGCTTTCTCCAGAATCCCCCTTCCTGAGATTGCCGTGCTCTGGAATAGAGGGAGGGTGACCCAGCTCGCACCCTACCTGGCTATCGTAGGCACAAAGTCAGAAGAGGCGGGAAAGACCAGTGAGACTTGACACAAAGGACTCAAAGAACTCTACAGTCAACAAGTGGAAAATGTTTATTCTCGGCCGTCCCAGGAATGTTTGCAGCAGCTGAAGCTGGGGCCGGAGAGATAGCACAGTGGGTAGGGCTCTTTGCCTTATGTATGGCCAACTCGGGTTTGATCTGCACCCCACACGATGCCTTGAGCCCTGCCAGGAGTGATCCCTGAGCACAGAGCTAGGAGTAAGCCCCATACTTTTCAAAATAATGAGTCAAATAAAAAAATTATACTGCAGCTAGAAAAATAGAACCCAATGTTAATGATTACAAGACACATCAAAATGGGCAGAGTCCAGCCCCTATCAGAGAGCTCTCGGGATGTGTGTGACTCCGAGTGATTATGTTGCTCAGAAGGGAAAAAAAATCCTGAAAATTGATCGAAAGTTTTAGCAAAAGAGCAACCAGATTATACGCTGTAAATACAGAGACCTTGAGTAGAAATCAATGTAATGCTAGAAAACAAGGCAAACAATTTGTCTATTGAAAAGAGCATTCGATAATATTTAACAATCATGCCCCATAACAAAGCCTTTTAATAATCTGATGAGTATTTCTGAGCCACTAATCAACAAATAAACGATAAATAATTTTGGCTATTAGAATGACTGTTCATTAAAATTAGGAAGTGTCTTCATTAAAAGATTAAAAACTGGGGGCTGGAGAGATAGCATAGCGGGTAGGGCATTTGCCTTGCACGTGGCCGACCCGGGTTCGATTCCCAGCATCCCATAGGGTCCCCTGAGCACCGCCAGGAGTAACTCCTGAGTGCAGAGCCAGGAGTAAACCCTGTGCATCGCCGGGTGTGACCCCCCCCAAAAAAAAAGCAAAAAAAAAAAACAACCCCAAAGCGTTCTGCATCCCAGGGTGCCTTAATGTGGGCGCTGAAGCAGGCACCCAGCCCCGCAAGCCTGTCTCCCCATTTACTGTGGCAGAAGGACTTCCAGTACTTCTGAGCACAGCTTTAACCCCAAATAATTAAAAATAGAATCACACTGCATTACTGTCCTCCTGTTGTTCATCGATTTGCTCGAGCGGGCCCAGTAACATTGTGAGACTTGTCACTGTGTTTGGCAGATTGAATACGTCACGGGGAGCTTGCCAGGCTTTGCCGTGCAGGCGAGATACTCCCGGTAGCTTGCCGGGCTCCCCGAGAGGGGCAGAGGAATCGAACTCGGGTCGGCCATGTTGGCTGCGTGCAAGACAAATGCCCTACCCGCTGTGCTATCACTCCAGCCCAAAAATAGAATAAAAATGTAAAATTACACATTTTAAGTAAATAAATAAATAAAATGCGTAAGAAATAGTGAGAGAAAGGCGTCAGAGCAATAGTACAGTGGGGAGGGCACTTTTCTTGCATGTGGCTGACCCAGGTTTGATCCCCGGCACCAATGAGAGTAATTCCTGAGTGCAGAGCCAGGAGGAACCCCTGAGCGTTGCCAGGTGTGCCCCCCCCAAACAAAAACAAACAAAAACCCAGGAAGAGCAAGAAAAACAAAAGCCACTTGGTAGAAACGGGGATGTGTGGTGTACAGAGAGGGGTTTGCACAGGAGGAAGCGAGGGCTTATGACCCTGAAAGGGTCTTGCCTCTCTCCATGCTAAGGAAAGGAGGGAAGGGTGTTATATTCCCTCCGCCAGACACTGTTAAAAAGGGTGTCTGGGGCTGGAGCGATAGCACAGCAGGTAGGGCATTTGCCTTGCACGCAGCCGACCCGGGTTCCATTTCCAGCATCCCATAGGGTCCCCCGAGCACCACCAGGAGTAATTCCTGAGTGCACGAGCCAGGAGTAATGCCTGTGCATCGCCGGGTGTGACCCAAAAAGCAAAAATGGGGGTGTCTGGAGCTGGGGGTTAGGGGGAAAGGGACATCTGGGGTCTTGGGGTGGGAGTCCACAGGACCCAGTGGCCTTGGAGTCATGGAGCCACCTTGGAGGCGGGGCATTTCCATCCATCTCCTACGTGTGTGGCAGAAACCAACGTGTTTGTGCCCATGTGTGGTCAGCTGAGTACGTCCCAGGCAGCGGGGGCTCACGGGAGTGAAAGGGGCCGAGGCCCGGGGGGAGGGGGGTGGCTCTCCCTGCAGGAAGGAGGGAGCCGCAGAGCTCACTGTGTCCATGCAAAAGCTGCAGGAAAGTCCCGGGTCACAGTGCAGAGTCGCAGGACCTGAAACTCAGGGCACGCCCTACGTAGATCAAGAGCCAGTTAGACGGGCCTCGCGTTTTCCGGGACACCCTCATGGGATGGCACCAACTGGAGAAAGAGAATCAGTCAATGGGGTGTGGGGACAGGCGGGAGGACCAGGCAGAGGGGGCAGGGGGTGAATGCAGACATCGGCTGGAGTACGGCTGTGTCTGAAGGAAGCCTCGGGAGGCTTCCCGAAGGCTGAGTTCATCCAATGCACAAAGGGGGCCTGGAGAGAGACAGCGGGGAAGGTGCCCACCTGGCACGCGGCCAACCCGGGTTTGATTCCTGGCACCATATACGGTCCCCCGAGCCCACCAGGAGTGATCTCTGCATGCAGTGCCCAGGACTCATCACCCCTTGGAAACTAAAATACAACAGGGAGCCCATGAGGGAGATGCTCAGGACCTGGGGGTCCTGACGAACAAACTCAGAATGTAACCGTGTGTGTGTGTGTGTGTGTGTGTGTGTGTGTGTGTGTATGTGTGTGTGTGTGTGTGTGTGTATGTCTGGGTGTTTCTTAACCAACTGTCTCTGGTCGTGCCCTGCTCGTGTCAGCCCCTTCCGCTGTTTGGCTCCTGCTGGTGACTAGCGCTGTCCTCCTGTTGTTCATCGATCTGCTTGAGCGGGCCCAGAAACGTCTCTATCGTGAGACTTGTTGTTACAGTGTTTGGCATATCGAATAGTCACGGGGAGCTTGCCAGGCTTTGTCGTGTGAGCGAGATACTCTCGGTAGCTTGCCGGGCTCTCCGAGAGGGGCGGAGGAATTGAACTCGGGTTGGATTTCTCCTGAAATCCCCTCCCAAGCGTGACTGAGGCTGGATCCAAACGCACGGCTCAGCCTTTCACCTGAGCCAGCACAAGCACACTGTCCAGCTTGGGCTTCCGACTTTGCCCGTTTTCTTCTCCTTTAACTTTGCCAACATTAAAGCATATTGAACACAGAGATGGAAAGCTGGGAAAATTCTCCCATGCCCCCTCAGCTTCCAGGCCTGCGTACCTTCCTCATCCCCCCACCCAGAAGTTTGTGAAGCAAATCTCACATCTCCTTTCTCTTTAAAATGTCTTAGTTTGGGTTTTGGTTTGGGGTCACTCCCGGCAATGCACGGGGCTTATTCCTGGCTCTGTGCTTGGGGGTCGCTCCTGGCGGGGGCTCAGGGAATCACAGGTGCTTCCAGGGACGGACTGGGGTCAGCCACATGTGGTGTGAGGTGAATGCCTGGCCTGCTGTTCTGTCGCCTTTCACACCTCCCTTTGTTCCATGAGTGACTATTTTAGTGAGTGTTTGTGTGCATGTGTCCTATCTCCTCACATCCTTAGCGTCTCCTTAATTATGCGATTGATCATCCTTTGAAAATAAATTCTTTTTTTTTTTTGCTTTTTTTGTTGTTGTTGTTTTTGGGTCACACCTGGGGATGCACAGGGGTTACTCCTAGCTCTGTACTCAGGAGTCACTCCTGGCGGTGCTCAGGGGAACATATGGGATGCTGGGAATCGAACCCTACCCTCTGTGCTATTGCTCCAGTCCCTGAAAAGAAATTCTCACTATTACAAACCCTCCACCTGGTTCTCAAGGGCCTGATTATCTCTGAATCTCTCTCTCCCTCTCTCTCCTCCCTCCCTTCCTCTCTCCCTCCCTCCCTCTCTCCCTCCCTTCCTCTCTCTTCCTTCCTCCCTCATTCTCTCCCTCCTTCCCCCTCCCTCCCCCCCCCCCTCTCTCTCTCTCTCTTTCTCTCTCTCTCTCTGGGTTTGTTGAAGTTGAATAGGATTCAGCCACCCCTCTGATTTCCCTGGGTTCTGACGTGTGTGTGTGTGTGTGTGTGTGTGTGTGTGTGTGTGTGTGTGTGTGTGTGTGTGTTTGGACCACACCCAGTGGTGCTTAGGGCTTACTCCCAATTCTGTGCTCAGGGATCATTCCTGGTGAGCTCAGAGGACCATATCACGTGCCAAGGATCAAACCCAGGTCGGCCGCGTGCAAGGCAGATGCAGTCCCGCTGTGCCATGGCTCGGGCCTCTGGCTTACGGCGTTTCCGTCTCCCTTCCGCCATGGCTACTTCTCTAATCACAGTCTTCCTTCATCCCATTTTGCTCTGATTTACCACAGAACACGCAGGCGAGGATCAGTAGTTTGCTTGGCGGCCTTTGCCCCTGTGTGGGTGCTGCTGGCCGTGCCCGGGTGTCCAGTGTGGTCTCCTCTCAGCTTCCTGTCCACTGCCAGGGAGACTCAGATGGGACCAGGCCAGAGACTCCAAAAGCTGAACACAGCAAGGCCCCTGGCCACAGTGGTGTGGGAACTTGCTATGTCCTTTCCCAGGACTGTGCCCTGGTGCAGACACAAGCCCGGCCCGCAGGGCTGTGGTGGGACAAAGGACAGAGGCTTGGGCACTGCGGGGACCCAGTATGGCCGGCCTATCCCTCTGTCCTTCTCTGTGCTGCGTGGCCCTTGCCTGCTGCCCCTCACTGCACAAATCCGTCCCTCTCCCCACCACTGGGACCACCCTGGGATTCCTCATTTCTCTTCATTAATCCCCACAGTGTCCACCTTCCCCAGGGCAGGGCTCAATGTCCGAAGCATCACTTGGGTGGTCTCACCCCAGGGCCAGCTCGTGTCCCATATGGCCAGCTCAGTGGGCCAGAGTTGTCCCCGTGCGGCCAGCTGTCCGAGTGGCCAAGCGGGTGAGGGGGGTGGTTCCGGGTCTCTGAACCATGTCCAATTGTCCGAGTGGTCAGCGGAGGGGCGGTTCCAGGTCTCTGAGCTGTGTCCAGCTGTTCGAGTGGCCAGTGGGTAGGAGGGTGGTTCCTGGTCTCTGAGCCGTGTCCAGCTTTCCAAGTGGTCAGCGGAGGGGCGGTTCCAGGTTTGTGAGCCGTGTCCAGTGTCTGAGTGGTCAGCAGAGGGGCAGTTTCGGGTCTCTGAGCCATGTCCAGCTGTCCGAGTGGCTAGTGGGTGAGAGGGTGGTTCTAGGTCTCTGAGCCGTGTCCAGCATCCGAGTGGTCAACAGAGGGGAGGTTCCAGGTCTCTGAGCCATGTTCAGTGTCTGAGTGGTCAGCGGAGGGCCTCTGAGCCATGTCCAGCTGCCTGAGCAGTCAGCAAAGGGGCGGTTCTAGGTCTCTGAGCCATGTTCAGCTGTCGAGTGACCAGAGGGAGCAGGAGGGGCGGTTCCGGGTCTCTGAGCTGTGTCCAATTGTCCGAGTGGTCAGTGGAGGGGCGGTTTTAGGTCTCTGAGCCATGTCCAGCTGTCTGAGTGGTCAGCGGAGGGGGGGTGGTTCCAGGTCTCTGAGCCGTGTCCAGTGTCCGAGTGGTCAGCGAAGGGGCGGTTCCAGGTCTCTGAGCCGTATCCAATGTCCGAGTGACCAGCGGGGGTAGGGCTGGGTCGGTTCCGGGTCTTTTATCCATGTCCCCCGGGTGCGCAGGTGGCGGCCGAGACCCGCGCGGTCATCGCCTGGCTGGAGAAGGTCCCCTTCGTGCTGGGCGGGAGCCTGCAGGGCGGCGAGCTGGTGGTGGCCTACCCCTACGACATGGCCCAGTCGGCGCAGCGGCCGCAGGAGCGCACGCCTACGCCCGACGACCACGTGTTCCGCTGGCTGGCCTATGCCTACGCGTCCACGCACCGCCTGATGACCGACGCCCGACGGCGCGTGTGCCACACCGAGGACTTCCAGAAGGAGGACGGCACGGTCAACGGGGCCTCCTGGCACACGGTGGCCGGGAGTAAGTGTCCGCTGGGCCACCCCCTCCCGGACTACCCTCTCCTGGGCCGGCCCCCTCCCAGGCTGGGGCACTGGGCTCTGAGCACCCAGCTAACCAGAGCAGTGTGCTGACCAAGGGCGCCAGGGGCGCCCTTGGACATTTATGCTTTTGAGGGGGGCTGGGCTGCACCCCACCATGCTCTGGCATCCTCCTGGCACTGTGCTGACGTGCTCTCTGGGCCTTTGTTGTGTTGTCCACTGAGAGTCCACAGCTGGTGGAGTCGGTCCCTTCCCTTTTGCACTGAGTCCCCGGCCCAACTCCTCGTTTATAAACGGGGTCACTGGGAGTCCAGGAGGACCCTGCCCCAGGCAGCCAGGCCCAGAGCTGTGGCCTGTCTGTCTGTCCCTTTCAGCATCCACTCAGGGCTGTTCGGGTTTCAAGGGCCAAGACAGGCAAATGCCGACAGTGGGGAAGTGACAAGCCCCAAAGCAGCCGGGGGTGGGCCTGAGGCTGGTTAACATGAGCAGGACACAGGCTGGCGTGGGCAGGAAGCTGGGGTGGCACTGTTCCCAGAGGTGCGAGACCCCCCCGCCCCAAGGTGTGCAGTGAAGCTGCCGCTGTGGTGGAAACCGGGCCGGGACAGAGGCAGAGCCCAGGCCACATCCTGTATGAGGGTGTTGGGGTCCGGCTGGGTGACCTCCTTGTCATTCAGGACTTGTGTTCGGCTGGGTGCATTCCTTGCTTTGGGGGTCACACCTGGCTCCATGCTCAAGAGTTGATGCTGACAAGTGCTCAGGGGACCAGATGCGGCCCTGGGGCTCAGACTTGGCCGCTGCCGCACACACGTGCATGTGTTTGCCCTGAGCTCTCTCCAGCCCAGCAGATCCTGCTTATGCTCCTGACCTTTCGGGGTGGGGGGGATGCCCATTTAGTGGCACACTTGAAGCATGTTTGTGACAAATAAACCCAGCGTCAAAGTGCTCCACAGGATGGTCTGTGGCCTGGCACATGCGACCTGCCTGCCGGGAACTCGCCCTTCCCATCTGCAGGATGGACAGAATGCCCAGGGCGATGGGATGTCTCTTCCTCCCTCAGTGAATGATGGATGAGGGGGTGCACTGGCCGGCCCAGGGGGTCTGGCCCTCCTCTCGCCCTTGGTCATAGGCACCTGCTCTCTGAAGGTGTCTCGCTCCCTCGGTCACTCTGCTGATGACCTTGAAGGTGATCTCACTCCGCGTGGGTTCCACCCACACGTGCCTTGCAGGAGCTTTTCCACGCTAGGGCAGAGAGAACTGAGAACCCGCAGATGTGTTTTTTCCCGTGGCCGTCGTGAAGCAGGTGCAGAATGCCTGCCAGGCCTTCCTTACTTGCCTGCGGGGCGGAGGCTTTTTATTTCCACCAGGGATGCAGAAAAGAAAAAAAATTTTTTTTTATATAAACACTTTCTCTGGGGAAAGTTTCTTAATGGACACAAAGCATTCTTGCCTTCTTTCTTTCTTTCTTTCTTTCTTTCTTTCTTTCCTTTTTCTTTTTTCTTTCTTCCTTTCTTTCTTTCATATATATATATATTTCAATGAATCACCATTAGATAGTTACAGACTTACAAACTTTCGTGATTACATTTCAGTCATACAATGACTGAGTACCCATCCCTCCACCAGAACCCATTCTCCACCACCAATGTTCCCAGTATCCCTCCCCCTTAACCCCCACGCAACATTCTTGCCTTTTCTAATGCAGGCCTAAGACCTGGCCATAGTCTTTCTAAGATGTACCTGCTTACATATATTTATTTGGGATTTAGGGTCACACACAGAGCTCAGAACTACTTGCAGCAGTGCTCCAGCGACCACAGGGTGTCAGGGACTGAACCTGGGGCCCCCACATGCAAAGCCTGAGCTCTGCACCTCCCCCTCCCCCCCCCACACATGGCCACTTCTCTGCTTGTGGTTCAAGGTAGATGTCAGTCCAGAGATCATGGGTGCCCAGGATTTGCCCAGTTGGACCCATAGTCAAATTTTCTTTTTGGTTTTTAGTAGTGAAACACCATGAGGTACAGTTGTAGACTTACAAATTTTTGTGCTTGGGTTTCAGTTATACAGTGATCGAGTACCCATCCCTCCACCAGTGCCCATTTCCCACCACCATGGATCCCAGTATCCCTCCCACCCCACAAGCCCCCCATCCCACCCCGCCTCTGTGGCAGGGCATTCCCTTTTGTCCTCTCTCTCCTTTTGGGTGCTGTGGTTTGCAAAAGAGGCATTGAGTGGCAATCATGTTCGGTCTACAGTCTACTTTCAGCATGCATCTCCCATCCTGGGAGGATCCTCCCAACACCCTTTATTTGGTGCTCCCTTCTCGATCTGAGCTGCCTTTTCCCCTAGCATGTGCGGCTGGCCTCCGAGCCATAGAGTGAACCTCCTGGTACTTATCTCGGCTATTCTTGGGTGTTAGTCTCCTATTCTGTTACTTTATGTTCCCCAGATGAATGCAATCTTTCCCCATAGTCAAATTTTAAGAAGCTGGCTGAGGGGTGGAGAGTGCTAGTACAGTGGGTAGGGTACTTACCTGGCACGCAACCCCAGCTGGGTTCCACCCCCAGTGCCCCACGTGGTCCCCTGAGCTGCCCGAGTAATCCCTGGGCACAGAGCCAGCAGGAACCCCTGAGCACAGCTGGGTGTGGCTCCCTCCAAAACACAAAACCAAGGCTGGAGAGATAGCGGGGAGGGCATTCGCCTTGCACACGGACCCCTGAGTTTGGTCTCCTGCATCCCATATGGCCGGTCCCCCAGGCACCACCAGGGGTAATTCTTGAGTGCAAAGCCAGGAGTCACCCCTGAGCACCTCCAGGTATGGTCCAAAAGCAAAACAAAAAACTCAGCCCCAGCATCACCGTCCAGCAACATGGGGTACCTGGAGTTAAGAACCGATTCCAACACGTTCCTAAGACTGATAGTTCGTAGATGTGGATGGGAGCTACCGACCGGGAGCCAGCAGACGCAGGCCGGTGACGGGTGGCAACTGACAAGTCAATTCAGGGTAAGCAGTGATTATATGTCGAGGAAGGCAGAGGGGAAAGTCAATGGTTGTGTGTCTACCTGCAACTTCAGGGGATGCAAACTCAGAACCTCTAAGCTACTCAACAGAAACAAAACCCACTCCCCCTTAAAGGTTTCTAAGGCCCCCCAACCACCCCAACCAGTCTATGGCAACCCACGTCCCCAAGGTCAAATTGGCAAATTGTTAATCCATTATCAATCTAGAAGTCCAATGCGCTATCCATTGCGCCACAGAGCGGGTAGGGCGTTCGCCTTACACGCGGCCAACATGGCCGACCCGGGTTCGATTCCTCCGCCCCTCTCGGAGAGCCCGGCAAGCTACCGAGAGTATTCGATATGCCAGACACAGTAACAACAAAGTCTCCAATGGAGACGTTACTGGGCCCGCTTGAGCAAATCGACGATCAACGGGAGGGCCTTTACCTTTACCTTTATCAATCTAGAATGTTCTCTGGGAAACATTGGGTGCCCTGGCAACAGCCCCTTTGCCGTTGTCTCTGGACCCAGTGTCTGAGGCCACTGCCCGGAAGCCCTGGAGGTTCTCACAGGTTGCTCAGTCCCGGCAGGAAGCACACCCTCACCCCTATCGGGGAAGGGGCTGGACTCAGACCCACCCGCAGCCCCGAACCCCTTGGCAGGTCTCAACGACTTCAGCTACCTCCACACCAACTGCTTCGAGCTCTCCATCTACGTGGGCTGTGACAAGTTCCCGCACGAGAGCGAGCTGCCCGAGGAGTGGGAGAACAACAGGGAGTCCCTGATCGTGTTCATGGAACAGGTGGGTGTGCGGCCGGAAGCCGAGAACCCAACCGGCCCTCGGACCCTGTCCCTGTCCTGTGCCCCCACCAGCCGTGGGGGGAGGGACCTCGTCTGTCTGCAGCTATTGGATGCCTCCCCTCCCCCCGGAAGTGACCCCCCCATGCCGTGGTGTTCGGCTGCTGTCCACGGTCTGGGGCCCCCTGTGGTTTTGCTGACCACACCCGCCGGGGCAGGGACAGGGAGACTTTTGGGGGTGCTCAGGGGCTGTTCTGTGGAGATGGGTGAGTCAGCTGGGGCTGCTGGGGGGGGAAGCGTTTGTGGGGGCAGTTGGAGCCAGGAGAGGGAGAGGGACAGGTCAGCAGGTGAGTTCCAGGTTACTGCTGTGGCTGGCACACAGGGGCCCTTGGTGGCCTTCACTCTGTGTCCGCACCCTGGCTGTCTGTCCCTGCTTCTGAGGGCCCAGCTAGTGACTTTCACTCCCTCACCACCTTACAGACCCTCAGAGACCCACCAACGGTCACATCCGAAGGGACTGGGGTCGCACTGTCGCACTGTCCTCCCGTTGTTCACCGATTTGCTCGAGTGGGCCCAGTAACGGTCTCCATTGTGAGACTTGTTGTTACTGTGTTTGGCACATCGAATACATCATGGGGAGCTTGCCAGGCTCTGCCGTGCGGGCAAGATACTCTCGGTAGCTTGCCGGGCTCTCCGAAAGGGGCGGAGGAATCGAACCCGGCTCAGCTGGGCTGGCTGCGCGCAAGGCAAATGCCCTACCGCTGTGCTATCGCTCCAGCCCAAGGGACTGGGGTAGGAGCATCAACTTGTGACTTTGGCAGGGGTGGGGGTGGGTGGGTGCAGCAGCCCTTGGCGGGAGAGTCACGGGGCAGGGCTGCAGGTAGCGGGTGTCTTAGGGGCAGTTCCCAGGGGAGCAGGGAGCTTGTGCTGCCCATGGGTGAGGGAGCCCTGCTGTGGGCACCAGGTGCTCAAACCCCTCCCCTTCCCGTCCCCAAGCGGAGTGGCGCCTGCCTGTTCTGGGCTGGGGTGGGGGGACTCCCTGAACCCTGTCCAGGCCCACTAAGCACAGACTTGCCGGACTCCCTCGACATCAGCATGGAGGAGGGGATACATCAGATCCCCGGGGTGTCCATCACCCGCTATAGGGCACCCGCTGGACCCGGAAGCCCCTTCCACCATGGCTGACCTGGGTGGCTCAGAAGCATTCAGCCGGGGGCTGTGGCCGCTGCTTCCTGGCCAGCACCAGCATCTGTGCCCAGGTGGCACCGGGGGGAGATCAGATCAGGCGTCATCAACCAGGGCTCTTGGCCACCCTGGGGCACCCTGGTGGCCCTGTCTGTGCCCATCCTGGATTTGGTCACTGTTTAAACTCTTGGGAACCCGGGGGCTGGAGAAATAGCACAGCGGGTAGGGCATTTGCCTTGCACGCGGCCAACCCGGGTTCGATCCCCAGCATCCCATAGGGTCCCCTGAGCACCGCCAGGAGTGATTCCTGAGTGCAAAGCCAGGAGTAACCCCTGAGCATCACCAGTGTGACCCAAAACGCAAAATAAAATAAAATAAAATAAAATAAACTCCTGGGAACCCTCTTCCTACGTGGTTGCAGGTGCTGTGCCCTCACCATGGGTGCTCACACTAACGAGTGAAGTGTCTCCACGCTCTCCCCTCGAAGGGGCTGTTGTGGAGACCAAGTAGACCCCTGAGCTTTCCTTTCCCAAGAGCCTCGAGCATGCGGGCAGTGCTGCTAGCCACTCTTCACGCAGAGGCTGATCAGACACAGTGGCCCCTGCCCTGCCCAACGCTCCACCCTGTCTGGCCTCGACTCTGCGATTTGATTGTTTCCTAAGAGAGCAAAGACTTTGTCCTTCTGCAGGGATGGTTCCAGCTTGACCCCAGCCTTTCAAGGGCCGGACGTCCAGCACAGGGTCCTGGGCAGCAATGGGAAGTCACAACATATGAGAGATGGGGAACCGGGCATGAGGCTCAGGCGGTCATGGCCACTTTCCGTGGCCTGTCAGTGGAAGGACCCTGTAGACTGAGTGTCTTCCGCAAAGGCCTCTTGGACGCTTCAGTAGTTAAGTGGACACAGCCCAGGAAAGTGTTAACCAATATACACGGAGGGCCAAGGAGGTTGCCCAGTGGTCAGTGCACGCCTGCGGCCCTGGGTTGGATCCAGGGACAATAAAACAAAACCAACCCCCACACTAATTCCCCACTCCTCTCTCCCTGCTACCTGGTAACCATCCCACCCCCCAAAATTAAATTTCATTTTTACCAAATGTGTGTGTATTTTGGGAGTACTGATCCTGTTTTTAAATTTCTGCAATATTCTAAGTCTAGTAGGAGATTCTCTGGTGCACAGGTCAGAAGATTAGACACGAATCCACACAGAGTCAGGCCAGCTCTGGGTCTGGGTGTCAGGGGCGGGGGCAGTCTGGGGGACCCTGACCCGCTCTCTCCCTGTCCCCCACAGGTCCATCGTGGCATCAAAGGCCTCGTGCGGGACTCGCTCGGGCAAGGCATCCCCGGTGCGGTGGTCTCTGTGGAAGGCATCGATCATGACGTACAAACAGGTACCCGGGCACACACACATACGCCCGGCAGGACCCGGCATTCCTGAGCCGTTTCACGGGGTGAACCTGGGGCGGAAAGATGGTCCTGAGGTTCAGGTCTGGCCTTGCATGAGGCCAGCCTAGGGTAAATCCCCAGCCTGGCATATCTACCCACATACCCCGAGACTTGCCAGGAGTGATCCCCGAGCACAGAGCCCGGAGTAAGCTCCGAGCCAAAGCAACCAAGCAGAAAGACCAGGAGGAAGTTTCCAGAAGCTCCCTGGGCTCCTCCAGATTCCCACAGAGCCGCTAAAGCCTGTGACAGGGACCCCACACAGGTGTTTGGGACCCGGGCGTCTGACGTAAGGGTGGAGCACATGCCTGACACGTACGGACCCCGAGCCTGGTCCCCAGCACCCCGTGGGCTGCGGAGCACTGCCAGGCGAGGCCTGCTGACCCCAAGCATCACCAGAGGTGCCCCTTGCTGTCATTTTCTCCTGGTCAGGGTGCCGGAAGTCTGAAAGCCAGACACTGTCTCGGCTGGCATGAAAGACTCCGGTCAGAGTGCTCCAGCCTCAGGCTGCCCTGAGACGCTGTCGGCCTCCCTGCTCCTGCCACCTCCCCCACGCAGGTCCTCAGTCTCGTGTCAGGTCGCAGTTAGGGGACTTAGGACCTTCCCGCTCCATGCCACGCAGGCACCCACTCACCCACAGCCTTGGTGATGCCCACAAAGGCCTTTCCTCCGAGTGTGTATGTGTGTGTGTGTGGGGGGGGGGGTGTGCATTATTCCACATATCCAAGACCCACCCCCAAGATCCCTCCTGACTGTCACTCGGCCACCATGGGGGAAGCCGCTGTACCCCAGCCTTGGCCCCACCTACTCTGGAACGTGCCCACGACACAGCAGTCAGGGAGCCCCCGGGTGCCCAGGTAGTCACCCCGTCTCCCACAGTCTCAGTCCCACCGCGGGGCAGGATCCATGTGTGATCTGGGTCCGAACGTCACCCCCCACCCCCCATTGGTCTGCTCATTCTGAGATGTGCGTTGTGGGTCTGGGTCACTCTCCCCAAGGGCTGTGGGGTCCACCGCTGCAGAGAGCTGTGGGCTTGTGGTCACTCTCCCCGAGGGCTGCGGGGTCCGGCCCTGCGGAGGACTCGTGCTCCACATTGCCACGGAACCTCTAGTAGAACCTCTAGTAGAAGCCCCCGGCATGTTCTTTGGGAGGAAGCGGGAGGGTTAGGATGGCAGGAGATGCCAACCCAGCTGGAGCTCGGACTCTTTCCGGAGCCACAGTTGCCGGGTGGTGGCTGGCGCGCGGGCCGGGTGGGCTCTGCTGTCTCACAAGCCCGTGCTTCCTCCGCTCCCGCCTGGCTTCCCTCTGAGGCTGATGTGAGCTGACAGGTTTGATTTCAGAATCCCCAGAAGGGGTTTGGCATGACACGAACAGCCGTGTTCTGTAGAATTCTGCATGCACGCGAGGAAGCGTGTGAGGCACCTTAGGCAGGCACAGCTGTCTGTCGCCGGCCCCGGGTCCAAATGCCACTTGGCTGCCAAGCGTGGACATTAGTGCCGCCTGGATGGGCCCCGCTGCGTGTATCTGCTGAGCGGCACTGGCCGTGATGTCCTCCCCCGGCTGTCCCCGCTGCCTTGATGACCCAGGGCAGGGGACAGTACCCCAGCACACATCCCCCTGAGCTCCCGGAAGTGGCTGATCCCAGGTGTGCCTCGCGGGCAGGTGTGGCAGTCAGAACAGGAGCCTGAGGACAGACTGGACAGTGCCCAGCGTGAGCCCTGAGCAGTGAGGGTGCCCACGTGCAGCAGAGAGTAGGGCCGTGTCTCAGAGCCCAGAGGCCCGCAGGCAGGACAGGCTCTGGCCATCTTGTTCATTGTCCTGCCATGTCTCTGTGTAGTTCGGGTATTGTGGTTACAATCACATCCGTACTTTCAATGTTGATAAACAAACTTAGTATATCTTGCGTCCAGAGAGTTAGTGCAGGGGGTGGGGTGTTTGCTCTGCACACAGCAGACCCGGGTTCAGTCCTGGGTACCATATGTAACGTCCTCTGAGCACCACCAGGAGTGATTCCTGAGCACAGAGCCAGGAGTGAGCCCTGAGCACAAGCCAAGGGTGACCCCTGAACACAAAGCCTGGAGTGATCCCTGAGCACAGAGCCAGGGGTGAGCCTTGAACGCAGAGCCGGGAGTGATCTCTGAGCACAGAGCCGGGAGTGATCCCTGAGCACAGAGCCAGGAGTCAGCCCTGAGCACAGAGCCAGGAGTCAGCCCTGAGCACAGAGCCAGGAGTCAGCCCTGAGCACAGAGCCAGGAGTCAGCCCTGAGCACAGAGCCAGGAACAAAGACAAACAAACAAACAAAGTGTACCACCACCAAAGTGCCAACAACCCTTCACCACTTTCGAAAAACCGAATGATTGTGATTTGGATGAGAGATGTTTTCGGTAATGTTGGCACGGGTGGTTTTGGTGCATGCAGCCACACCACCACCACCACCAATGTGCCCCACCAAGACCCCTGTCCCTCAGGATATCCTGCTGTACCTCTGCTTTGTACCTCAGCGAGGCCCCTGCTGCCCTGTGGGGTGTCTCCGAGTCAGCATAAAGGAGCACTGTAGTGAAGAGTCAGGAAGAAAGGCGCATCTGGCCTTCAGACACCAGGGGTGGACTAAGGATGCCCGCCCTGAGGGGACGAGTGCAGAATGTCCTTTGGAAGTGCAGGGAAGAGCATTCCACAGGGAACAGTGCTGTCAAATGAGCAAGGCTCAGAGTCTGGAGTGGTTGGAGAGCAGTGGGCCAGGACAGTGTGGCATATGGCGTCACTGGAGAGTGGCGATCAGCAGGGCCTGAGTTTGGGGTGCACAACTAGTACTTTTCTGAAGGTAACACTCCCCTCCCCCACACCCCAACTGCTCAGGATTTCCCCCAGAGTGAGTGAGTCGGGTCCGGATTGTCTGCAGAAGCACAGGAAGAGCCTGCTGTCCACTTCTGGCATCTCTGTGGCCCCCGGGGTGTGTCTGGGCGGGGGAGGGATCATGGGCCTGCGTGGAAGGTGGAGGACAGCCGAAGGAAGGCCACAGTCAGGGGCTCGGGGCGGGGGTGCGAGCTCTGAGAGGAGGGGCTGGGGCCGGGGTCAGGGACAGGCCTGGGTCATGGTCACCGGGGTGGGGGTCACCCCGGGACTTTGCGTTCATTGTCCCTGCGACTGAGCCCCGGCACAGGAAGTGGGCTGGTCATGTGACTAGAGAAAGGGGGGTGGGCCCGGCTGTGGGCAGGAGGGAGCCTCCTGGCTTGGGGGGGAACAGTGCTCCCCAGAGGCTCCTTCAGGCACACGTTGCTGTGAGCTGATGTGACCCCCCTTGGTCACCTCCCGCAGAAGCTCTGGGTTCCTCTTCGGGGGTGGGCATTCACCCGCCGTGGAGAGGGGTCCCCTCCAGAGGCCTCCGGCAGAGGTGGCTGCTCCCGGCTGTCACCTCCCTCACCATGCCCAGTCATGGTGGACCGAGATAGCAGGGTGCTCCCACACAGTGCTCCTGACGACTCACTAAGGGACTGGGCTGGGCCTGCTCAGAGGATGGAAGTGTCAGCATCACTGAGTGGCTCTTGGGGTGCCCAGCACCCAGGTCCACGAGCTTCCCCACCCTCTGACCCTCCCGGCGAACCTCGAGGTCCACTGGCTGAGTGCCTCCGGGTGCCTGAGGGTGCCGGGTTGGTCCCACCCTCCAAATTGTCACTTCTGTCTTGCCTGACTGACGGCCGCCACAGGTGGGTGGGGGCCACCCAGGGCGTCTCTACTTGCCTCTGGGAACCCCAGCTCAGGAAGTGGCGTGCTTGTTGGGGTGCACATCACCCCATGCAGGCAAGCCAGTGGTCATTTCCCCATTGGCTCAGGGGCTGCCCCCACCCCGCCCACTTAAGTCAGCTCCCAAAGAGGGCACATCAGGGCTTCCAGATGCCGGGGCTCACCCGGGATGGGGTCCAGGTAGGTGGTGGGGTTCAGGCTCCATGCTGACAACTGAGCCCCTGGGCCCAGATCCGCAGTGGTCTGCCTCGGGACAGACCTTTCTTGGTCCTGGCAGCACTCAGGGGGGACCTGAGTGACCGGGTCAGCCCCGTAAAAGGCGGGCGTCTGAACTCCTGCCCCATCTCTTTCCCCACCCCACCCCACCCCCGCCCCCGCCCTCCTTCCCCAGCCAGCGACGGGGACTACTGGCGCCTCCTGAACCCCGGAGAGTACGTGGTCACGGCCAGGGCCGAAGGTTTCACCTCGTCCACCAAGAACTGCCTGGTGGGCTACGACATGGGCGCCACGCGCTGTGACTTCACGCTCAGCAAGACCAACCTGGCCCGCATCCGGGAGATCATGCAGCGGTTCGGGAAGCAGCCGCTGACCCCACCGGCCCAGCCACAGGGGAGGAGACGCCGGCGGAGGCGGCAGCGTGCCAGACGGAGGCCCTGAGACCTGGCCCTCGGGGGACCCTCGCCCGGACCCTGCTCAAGCTTGGGGAGGCTGGGGAGTGTTACCCTGCGAGGTCGGCCCTGGGAAAGGGTTTTCTTTCCTTTGTTCCCTTGTAGTTGAGTAGTTCAGTGGGTGATGGCAAAAGGCCAGTGTCAGAGCCAGGCTAGGGAGGGTGAGCGCGTGCCCCGGGGCTGGTCGTCCTCGCGGGAAGGGCCCCGTGTCTTCCTCCTGTGGGTGTGCCAGCAGGCGCCCCCTCTGCCAGGGCACGAGTCTGCCATTGCAGCACCCACAGCTTCTGAGAGCACCACCCCACCTTACCCTGTCTCTGCTCCGGGGCTCGCCCAACTGCCGGGAACCTTCTCAGTGCCAGGGGACCCAGAGGACACGCCCCAGAGGCTGACCCCAAGGTCAGGAATAGGGAGCAGGACTCCTGGCCAGGCATGGGGCACCCACATGCAGGCTGGACCAGAGAGACCGTCCAGCCCCCCGCTGGGCAGTAGCCAGGGGACTCACTACATGCAGGCTAGACCAGAGAGACTGTCCAGCCCCCTGCTGGTCAGTAGCCAGGGGATTTACTACACGCAGGCTAGATCAGAGAGATTGTCCAGGCTCCCTCTGGTCAGTAGCCAGGGGATCACTGGGTAGGGGAGCTGGGGGTGTCCTTGTTTGAGGGTCCAGAGGGAACCTGAGGAGGGCCAGAAGAAGGCTCATGTCCCACCTCTTGGCTCCAGCTCTGCCTTCCTTTGCCGCGAGCCCCTGTAGACAAGCTGACCATGTAGGGCCCCATCACGCATGGCCAGGCCTGAGCTCCCAGCCTAGGCTCAGAGTCATGGGATGTGTACAGTCACTTTCAGGGCACGGGGTTAGAGCTGGGGTTCAGTGACCACCTGGGAAACTGCGGGTCCCACTTTTCATTTCGTTTCTGCTGCTGCCTCACCGGCCTGGAGTGGAGGGAATAAAGCCAGTGGAAAGAGCTGTAGCGTGTGGTTTCCTGGAGAGTCACAGCCACACAGAGACACACAACCCTGCTCTGACCTGCCCTCTGGAGGGACCTTCTGCACCCACCCCACTGTGTGTGTGTGTGTGTGTGTGTGTGTGTGTGTGTGTGTGTGGCCATCTTGACACCTATAGGGACACCCCTGTGGGCCTTTTGACCCTCTGTCCAGAGCCCTGTTCCTCTAACCCTGCAGAGAGTGGATAACTGAGCCCTTGCAACTGTCCACAGCAGGAAAACACCCACATAATACATGTGTGAGAGGGCAGGGCTGCGCCCCAATAAGACTTCATTCATGAACACGTGTGGCAGGGCCGGGAGTGAGGGCCAGGGATGCATCGCATGCAAGCAGGGCTTGGCTCCCAGGCATCACATGCCCTCCCCGACTCCTAGGACTGAAGCACCACACCTCGGGGTCCCAGCACTGAATCATGCAGTTGGCCAAGGGCCCCAGGAGTGGCCCAGGGTCCTAGCCCTGCTCAGGAGGTCACGTGCCTCAAAGACGAAGAAAGCACAGCAAGGCCACTCTAGGGGACCAGCCCAGGGCTCAGTCACTGAGCTCTGTCGCTATCGAGCCCTTGAAATGTGGCCCCGGGTGCCTTGGGGCCCGAGCATCTCACCCTCTGGTGGCACCTTGGTGAAGCCTCAAGAGCCACGTGAGTCCCAACAGGGGGCGCTGGGAAGCCCCCTTGCAAGGATGTGCCTGCCCCCGAGGTCGGCGGGAGGAGCAGTTCCTATGCCCCACCGGAAGTCAGGTCTGGCCCCCGGTAGGTGCGTGCCTGCCACGCTGGGCCACCAGCAGGCTGCCACCCGGGCCATGCCATCCCGTCCTAGTATGGCCCTGTGTGCGGTCTCAGGCCAAACAGCCTCTCTACCCAACAACCCCCCCTTCCCGTGTGGCTTCCTGTTCCGAGTTGTCCCCACTTCCTGTTTAATGTTGCCCTTACTTCCTGTCCCATGCTATCCTCCAACTTCCTGTCTGGTGTTATCTCCCTGACTTCCTGTCCTCTCCCCCGAATTCCTGTCCCCTACTGTCCCCTACTTCCTTTTTATCCTATGTCCTACGGGATCTCCCTCACTTCCAGTCTGATGCAGTTTCCTCACTTCCTGTCTCGTGCTATTGCCCCTGACTTCCTGTTCGATGCAGTTGTCCTGACTTCTCGTGCTCTGCCACCTTGGGTATTATTTTTTTCCAGGCCCTCATTGTCAGACTCCCGATAATCAAGGGGGCACGGAAGAAGACGTGTCCTTTGGGTCCTGTCCTCCTTCAGTGCTGGGGAAGTACAGAGATGCCTGGACTTTGGGATCAGTGCTGGATTTGACTTTGATTGAGGCATAGAAAATACACCGCCAGAGATTCCGTGGGCAACAAGAACAACAGACCTTAGCCCCCTCAGGAAAATTCCACGCCCCCCCAGACCTGTGGAGGAAGGAGGCCCACCCACGGGTCACTCCCCCAGGGTGGAGAGCAGTGGGGCTCGGGCGGGGGGCTGGGTGCTGCTTCGGAGCATCTGGACGACACCAACACCATCTCACCCTGCTGAAGTGTTTCTCATCGTCTCTAAAGTGGGTAGAGTGATCCCTGCCTCTGGGCGTGTTGGGAAGACTCAATCCGAGGTAGAAATATTTGAAATGTTTGGAGCTTTCAGCCTCGGAAAGATGCAGATATAAAAGCAGCCTGTTCTCACAGAACTTCGAAAGTGCATTAGGGAACAGTCTGGCAGTTTGGAGAAACTGGCATTGTGACTTCACAGGATCCAGTCATTCTGCTCCTAGGCCTAAGCTCTAAACCCAAAGAACTCGGTGGTATTGACAGCACAGAGTGTGTCAATGCTGTTCAGAAGAGCCCCCTGTCTCCATGAGATGAGTGGGTCAGTGAGTGGTGGAGTCCCTGGGCGAGAGGAAGGACCCACGGGAAGGGGAAACGCAGCCACATCCACCCAGACACGCTCTGACGGTGCTGGACTGATAGGACACTGGGGAGAGCTCTGGCTTGCCCACGGCTGGCCCGAGTTCGATCCCTGCCATCCCATACAGTCCCCCAGGCACTGCCAAGACTAATTCCTGAGCATCATCACGTGTGACCCAAAAAGGAAAAAAAAAAGACACGCTCTGAGCACAGGAGGCTTGGCGCAACACTTCCTGACAAAGACCACTCACTGTCTGATTCTGCTTGTCAGGAGGTCCCGGGAGAGGCAGAGCCAGAGAAGCAGAAAATAGATTTGCGGTTGCCTCAGGCCAAGGGGTGGGGAGATTGCAGGGAAGGAAAAGACTTGGGGAGCTGGGGAGTGTTTGGGAGGGTGGCAGAAATGCTCCAGAATCGATTGTGATGATGGTTTGCACGACTCTGAAAAAGCCATTCATTATCCACTTTGAATGAGTGAACTGTGTGGTAGGGATCACGTCTCAATAGAGCTGCTCTTGAAGAGAGGTGACTGAACGGATTCAATAAACATCATCCCCAGGACAGCATTCCAGGCCAGGGCTCGGCGGCGGAGCCAAATCTTCCGATTCTATCCGCGTAGAAAGAGGAGCGGGTCCTACTGAAATAACAATTTAGGCAAATATATAACTGTAACCGCTAATCCCTAACTATGCAAATGACCATGGAGCCCGGCCAAGTGGGAAGACTCTGGAAGCCTCTCTGAAGGTCCTGGAAACAAGGCAAATCCAGTTCCCTGCCTACGTCTGTCCTTCATTAGCCCCTTCATGTTCTGGAATAAATGAGCACTTTCCTTGAGGCCAGACTAATTTAATAAGAGCGTTGTAGCTAGCAGACAGGTTGTCTCCGGTGATGGAAGATGAAAAGCAAGAAACAAAACTTGGCTAGACTCGAGCGGTTTTACTTAAAGGGAGAGGAAAGAGAGAAAACAGACAGAATGCCTCCCCACAGGCAGGATCCCAGAGTGGGTAATGGACGACGAGTTTCCTCTTTTGTGCCTTTGTAAGTGGAGGGGTGAACGGGCATATCTTGCAGAAACATTACAGAGACAGACCAGCCAGCTGCATATTTTTCATCTTTTTTGGGGGGGGGAGGGTCATACCTGGCAATGCACAGTGATTACTCCTGGTTCTGCACTCAGGAATTACTCCTGGTGGGGCTTGGGGGGATCATATGGGATGCTGGGAATCGAACCTGGGTCCGCCGTGTGCAAGTCAAACACCCTTCCCGCTGTGCTATCGCTCCAGCCCCTTTCGCATCTTCTTTGATGAATCTCAGGATGAGTCAGGTGGCTAGAGCAGAAACTGCTGGTAGGCAGGTGATCCCTTCATCTTTTTGTTATCGAGGATGCAAAAGATGGTTATCATCTCATCAGATCCGGCCTGGTGACATTCCATTTATTTCATCTTCTGGGAATCTTCTTTTCCCTGTTTTTTTTTTTTCTGTGACTCGACAGTAGTACTAAGATGTTATTCACATGTCACAGATTCGTGGTTTTCTTCAAATGTGTTCACGAACATTTTAAAATAGAGCTCTTGAAATCTGTTTTAATTTCCAACACAGGAAACACTAAGTTATATTAGAAACCCAAAGTTCGCCAGGAGCCCGGGTAAACTTTATGAGGTTGAAGGTGCAGGAAGAAGCCAGAAAGAAGCCGAGAACTGTGATGTTAAGCACCCAACTACCATTTCCTGGAGAAGCAGAAGCATGCCCGCTGTTTCTCTCTCACTGTTGCTTACATAATAACCCCAGTCCCTCGGACCAGTGATGGCTTTTATCAGCATAAACAAGCTGTGTCTCTTTCACAGATCACACTTGAGATGGAGGGTTGAGAATTGAGCTCCTGGGTTCACGTGGAAATAGAGTTGACACATCTCTCCCTTGGAGAATCTCCAAAAGCAGAACAAAAATGTGCAAAAATGTGTTTCTGAATACGTCCCAAGACACAAAAATAAGAAACATATGAATTCAAACTTCTGCATTTGAAGGCAAGGCTGTGGTCTCATCGGTGGTCAAAGCATCCCATGGTTAGCATTATTTGATAAATGGAATATTAACCCAAGA